GGGTGCTTCTCCACCTTCCAGCCCACCACGGGCCACCGTCTGTGCAGCGTTCACTTCCAGGGTGGCCGCAAGACCTATACGGTGCGCGTTCCCACCATCTTCCCGCTGCGCGGCGTGAATGAGCGCAAAGTAGCGCGCCGACCCGCAGGGGCTGCAGCCGCCCGCCGAAGGCAGCAGCAACAACAACAGCAGCAGCAGCAGCAGCCGCAGCCCCAGCAGCCTCCGCAACCGCAGTCGTCTCCGGCCGCCTCCAACGCTCAGACCTCCCAGCTGCAGCCGAACCTTGTGTCTGCCTCCGCAGCTGTGCTCCTCACCCTTCAGGCCGCTGTAGACAGCAGCCAGGCTCCAGGATCCGCGCCGCCAGCGCCCACCACTCCCGCCGGAGATGATGTAAAGCCCATCGATCTTACTGTGCAAGTGGAGTTCGCAGCCGCAGAAGGTGCAGCCGCTGCAGCCGCGGCGTCGGAGCTAGAGGCTGCAACAGCGGGATTGGAGGCCGCTGAGTGCCCTATGGGTCCCCAGTTGGTGGTAGTAGGGGAAGAGGGCTTTCCTGATACTGGCTCCGACCACTCGTACTCGTTGTCATCAGGCACCACGGAGGAGGAGCTCCTGCGCAAGTTGAATGAACAGCGGGATATCCTGGCGCTGATGGAAGTGAAGATGAAGGAGATGAAGGGGAGCATCCGCCACCTGCGTCTTACCGAGGCCAAACTGCGGGAAGAACTTCGCGAGAAGGATCGCCTGCTTGCCATGGCTGTCATCCGGAAGAAGCACGGAATGTGAATGGGACGCCTGAGGCCTGTAGAACTGCTGGACCCCTTCCAGCCCAAGGGATCCCCAGGCGGATGTTGAACTCCCCTATATTCTGATTGACAGTAGTGAGGCTTAGCTAGACTGGCTGGTGATTTGGCACCCTCACTTGTTTCCTCTTGAGGCAGGAGTTTGGGTCCTCAGACTCTGCAATAGTGACACCAGCATTAATACTGTCTATTCTCCCTCCCCAGTTTATGTTGCAGATTCTGGTTAAATGTTGCAGATTCTGGTTAAGCAGAGGCTTCAGAAACACTTGAGACTTGCCTAGAGGGATAAAGGTGGGGTGCCCAGTGACTGGGGGTTTGGGAAAAACCACACATTAAGCTTGGCCAGCAATCCGAGAAAACTCTGCTGTGTGTAGTGATAAGAGATTCAAGTAACATCAGTTCTTTAAATGCTTACTCTTTCCAGATGCAGTCTGTGATATTGATGGGGACTAGCTGATCTGTGCCTCTGCCTCCTAGGACCTCCCTACACATGGGGGCATTTGCCCAGGGGATGACCTGCTGATGGAGGGCCAGCTTGCCTGGGACTTGGGTTATGTTTGCTACTGGTTACAAATTCTATTTTCTGTACAATTAGTCAGGCTAAAGTTTTCACTGTGTTTGTTTGGCAAAACAAATTAAAGAAAAAGTAAGGTTTTTATTTGGTTTTCACCATTTTTTTTGTGAAAACTCAGTGAAGTATCCTTGAAATATGGGAAAATAGGCTTTGTCTTGAAGACTGGGCTAATCCAGAGAGTAGAGATTTCAATGACCAGGTTTTTCCATAAAGAAGCTCTAAATAATGTAGACTCTGGTCTCTTAAGGTCCTTAAAAGTTCTGGTGCAGTTTATGCCAAAGAATGTGTAAACTACACCAAATGGTCCCTGTTTGTGCATGAATTTACTCTCTGTATTCTTTTAACAAGATAGTGCAACTAAGAACTAAGCTGAATTGTTTAGTTCCTTCTACTCTGAAGGTTTTTAAATTATCCCTTAAATTCTCAGGAAGAGTTGAGGTTTGCTCACTGTTTCATCGCTTAAACTTTATAGTGTCTTACTATACATTTACATGAACCAGTGAAGATTAGAACTGGAATCAGCCATGGCTTCTTCAGGCACAATGACTCCTGTACATATATCTCGGCCTTGGTACACCTTCAGTAGAAAGAGCTGGATCAATAGCATTGAGGAGCCGAGATTTGTAACCCTTTGACTTAGGTTTTTGGCTATTTCTTAAGATTGGATATTGGGGGCTGGGAAGGTGGCTCAGTGGTAGAGCGCTTGCCTTGCATGCCTGAGGCCCTGGGTTCGATTCCTCAGCACCACATAAGCAAAAAGAAAAAAGCCGGAAGTGGCACTGTGACTCAAGTGGTAGAGTGCTAGCCTTGAGCTGAAGAGCTGAGAGACAGCGCCCAGGCCCAGAGTTCAGGCCCCATGACGGGACCCAAAAAAAAAAAAAAAAAAGATTGGATATTGGTACTGAGTGCTGATAGCTCACACCTGTAATCCTAGCTGCTCAGGAGGCTGAGATGTGAGGATTGCATTCGAAGCCAGTCTGGGCAGGAAAGTCTTGTGAGACTCTTACCTCCAATTTACCATGAAAAAGCCAGAAAGGGAGCTATGGCTCAAGTGGTAGAGCACTATCCTGAGCACAAAAGCTCAGGGACAGTGCCCAGGCCCTGAGTTCAAGACTCAAAACTGGTGTGGCATGTGCGCGCGCGCACACACACACACACACACACACGATTGCATATTGAAGAGTGACATTTTTATCTATGACAAGTAATTTAATTTAGCTCAAGCTAGTGAATGTTGTTGTTTTTAATATGTCTGCTTATTACCGGTGTTAGGACACAAATGGATTTTATTTTCAGGCTGTCTAAAATATGACTAACTTTTGTATTACTTATGGATAAAACTATATACCTAGGTATGTATCCTGTGAGCTGGAATAGCCCTAAACTGTTATGTCTGCTCCCCTTTTGGTCTCTTGCCACTGAATTGAGACAACAAGTCTTCTTGAGGATGCTTTTAGGTTATAAAGGTGCCCAGTTCTGGCAAGAGTTGAATGTCTGCCTTCCTAGGGAGGCTGGCTGGTAATTGGGTGTTGGGAACTCATCAGTGCATTTCCAGGCTTGCTGGATCTTTACTGGACCAGTCTCAAACATTGCTACTCTTTCCTTGGTCTTTCCCAGACCCTAGCCATACTAGTGTATCCTTGAGATCCTAGTAATTGAAGGGACATTTGGCAGCACCTCTTGGGCCCTCTAGAGGTTATAAGCACAAAACTTGTCTGGTGGTTTGACTTTGGGGCAGTGAGAAGAGGCCTCAGATGCAGATGTGTCACTGATTGGGCAATACCATCTTGGTAGCTGAGTAATAAAAGAAGCATCTAGTCAAAGTATTCTAGACCAACCTGGGACTTTTTAAAAAATATATTGATTGTGGGGTTTGAACTCAGGGCCAGCATGCAGTCCTTAAGCATTTTTGCTCAAGGTTAGCCCTCTACCACTTGGAGCCACAGTTCCACTTTGAGAGCTATAGCTCTGGTTAATTGTAGATAAGTCTCACTGACTTTCCTGCCCAGGCTGGTTTTGAACTACAATCCTCACATCTCAGACTCCTGAGTAGATAGGATTAGAGGTGTGAGCCACCAGCTCCCTATCAGACCTGGGATTTGTTCAAGAAGCTTAGCCTGGTCATCTCCTGGAAGTGGGATAGGTGTGGCTAAACTCTTCTAGAGGACAGGTGTGCTAGATTTCTGGCCTGAAGAGCTATAGGGCTGCTTTTTTTTTTTGGGTCCAGTCGTGGGCCTGAACTCTGGGCCTGGGCGCTGTCCCTCAGCTCAAGGCTAGCGCTCTACCACTTGAGCCACAGTGCCACTTCCGGCTTTTTTCTTTTTGCTTAGGTGGTGCTGAGGAATTGAACCCAGGGCCTCAGGCATGCAAGGCAAGCGCTTTACCACTGAGCCACCTTCCCAGCCCTATAGGGCTGCTTTAAGGAACCTTAAAACCATTTTCCTTTCCTGTGGTCCTCTTTTGCCCAACACAGGCCAGACTTCCTTTAAATGTTTGTGTTACCAAGGAAACCATAAAAAAGGCATTTAAAGGGCAAAGGGTGCGAGAAGAATTATTTATAAACTGGTCAAATAACGAGAAGTGGGTAAACTAGTTTTTGTTTGCTTGTTTGTTTGTTTGTTTGTTTTGGTCCAGTCGTGGGGCCTGAACTCTGGGCCTGGTCTTCAGCTCAAGGCTAGCACTCTACCACTTGAGCCACAGCGCCACTTCTGGCTTTTTTTTTTTTCTGCTTACGTGGTGCTGAGGAATCAAACCCAGGGCCTCATGCATGCAAGGCAAGCGCTCTACCACTGAGCCACCTTCCCAGCCCTGGTTGGGTTTTTTTTTGGTCAGTCGTGGGCTTTAACTTTGTGCCTGGGGACTGTCCCTCAGCTCGCTTAAGGCTAGAGCTCTACACTTGAACCACGGTGCCAATTCTGGCTTTCTGAGTGGTTTATTGGGGATAAGAGTTTCAAAGACTTTCCTTCCCGGACTGGCTTTGAACTGCGATCCTGAAATCTCAGCCTCCTGAGTAGCGAGGATTACAGGCTTGAGCCACCAGTGCCCGGCTCGTTCTTTTTAACAAAGATTAAACTTATGGCTACTCTATGTGCTTAGGAAAGCAGAAATAAAAGTCTTAATGAAAATCTCTCTACAAATGAGAGTAACCTCTAGCCAAACCTCACCCTAGGACATTTGAGTCTCCGGGCCAGAGAAGTGTCTTAAACCAGCTTTGAACCCCACTGTCCCAGGGCAGGATCATGAATACTGGGGCTGCAGAAGCAGTGGGTTTCCGCCCCGGCCAGCTAAGGCCACCCAGTGAGCCTAACAGCTATGGCTCTAAGTGTGGGGGAAGAGCTTCAGAGGCGGAAGCAGTCCAGGGGCCCAGGAGGGGCGGCTGGTCCAATTCGAGGCCGGGCCAGACTCCGGTGGGGCGAGTACAACCATGTAGCCTGCACAGCCTGGGCGGGGCCAGGCCAGCTGGGACCGGGCGACAACAGAGCTGTGACCCTTGCCTGGCGCCAACTCCGTGTTCCAGAGGCTTCCGCTAGACCACAATTCTCAGGGGCTAGCCCCAGCAGCCTCCCTCTCTAGCTTAACCTCTCCTCCCGCGCTGTAGGCCGTCTCTGGGCCTCCGCGCACAGCACCCTGGGATCTGTAGTTTTGTTATAGCGCACTACTGCCTGAAAGGTGGGCGGCGGGACTGCGTTTCCCGGAGTGCAGCGGGGCGGACGAGGGAAGGCAGGGGGGAAGGGACAGTCGGTCGCAGACCGCGCTGGGTTGCCGCCGCCGCTGCCGCCATCGTGCCAGCCCCTCGGGTGAGTGTTGGGGCTAGCGCGCCAGGGCGAGGGCTAGGCTGCAAGAGCCGCGCTCTGGGCCGCCGGGAGCTTCTGCTGCGACTCGCTGAGAGGCCCCTCCCCTCCCCACCCTCCTGGCGGCCCGAAGCCGCGCGGGGCCCGGGCCATGTGTCGCGCGCGGCTCCGCCTCCCGCCGGTCCTCTGAGGCAGCGGCCGGTGGGAAACGCTGAGGGCTAGACAGACGCCTATCCCGGCCGTGCTGTGCTATGACTGGTGAGCCGGACTTTGCTGTGGCCAGGGCCTTTTTCTTCCGTCCGGATGGGGTTCACAGGGCCCCGCCCCGTCTGGTCTGGCCCAACCTGCTCGAATCCCAAAAGCTCTACAAGCTGGCTAGCGAGCAGACCCCAGCCCCACGTCCTGCCACCCGCCGGCGAAGATCCGGGGATGGGCAGCGCCACCCGGTTCGCTCCAGAGCCAGCATGGGTAAGGGTGCCTGCCTGGTGCCCCTGGGTGAGGGGTTTGGATCCCCTCACCCGGTTCCCTGCCATAGTCTGCTTCTCTGCTTAACTGCCTGCGGGGAGTGCACAAACACCTACCTCTCTTTGGGTGGAATTTAGGCTGGATTATCTTGCATGGAGGACAGAATCAGGGAGTCTGGGGGTGGTTGGAGGTTCCACGTGGGACTTTTATCCTGGTCAGTCCTGGAAGACCTGAAACTGATGTGGTGAAGCGTCTCTAGGCTGGTAGGCCAGGCCTCCACCCTTCTTTATCAGTGACCAGGCCCCAGCTATGGGTAGGTTGATCGGTACTGTTACCGGGGAAGGAAGCTAAAGAGGTGAGGTTGGATATGTGAGCCTTCAAGGCTTTTGTTAGGTTTCTCAGGCACAGCCCAATCAATCCCCACATCAAAACTTAGCAGTCAGCATTGATTGCCAGGCCGGAGAGGATGACTCTTTAAGAATGGAATGATAAGGTAGGGTTTAATGCTGGGAAAATAGAATCTAGGCCTGAGTTTTTTTGAGTCCAGTACCAGGCAAGAGGCCAAAGTGGAAGGTGCCTTGTGGGGTGAGGCCCATTTGGGTAGTAGGCTCAGGTTTAGGCTCTGAGGGCCTTTCTGAAGCCGGGTGGCAAAAGCTGCAGAAAGCCAAGCTTCCTCCTCAATTGACTGCTTCTCTGAAAAAGGCAGAAAGCTGAAAGCTGGTTGGGTCTCCAGAAATTGTTCTCAATGGCATTGGGTATCCGGACAGAGAGATAGTGTTAGGCAGATTTCGAAAAGACACTCTGTTTGATGATTAAGGGACTAGTTTTCAAAGAACAACCTAGGACTTGTGGGAGAGACAGCATCTCTTCTCAAGCCTTGATTTCAGCATCTGGATCACAGTTCTTCCATGTACTCAAGAAGCAGTTCAGTCTTAGCAGAACTAGACTCAGTAACAAGCAAGAATGCCAGATCTCTTGAGGCTGAGTCAGGGCCATAATGTGGAAAGTACTGTCCCTGGGCCTTTTTTCTTCAGTATTTCCCCAGATGAGATGCTTTTTATTTTATTTTTTTGTGGGTCTTGTGGCTTCAACTCTGGGCCTTGGTGATGTTCCTGAGCTTCTTTTGCTCAAGACTAGCACTTTACCACTTGAGCCACAGTGCCACTTATGGCTTTTTTTTTTTTTTTTGAGTAGTTTATTGGAGATAAGAGTCTCAGGGAGGGGCTGAGAAGGTGGCTCAGTGCTAGAATGCTTGCCTTGCTTGCATGCATGAGGCCCAGGGTTTGATTCCTCAGCACCACATAAAGCAGAAAAAGCCAGAAGTGGTGCTATGGCTCAAGTGGTAGAGCACTAGCCTTGAGCTGAAGAGCTGAGGGACAGTGCCCACGCCCAGAGTTCAGGCCCCATGACTGACCAAAACAATAGTCTCAGGATTTTTCTGCCCAGGCTAGCTTCAAAACGTGATCCTCAGCTGGGCACCAGTGGCTCACGCCTATAATCCTAGCTACTCAGGAGGCTGAGATCTGAGGATCACAGATCAAAGCCAACTTGAGCTGGAAAGTCTGTGAGACTCTTTATCTCCAATAAACCACTAGAAAACCGGAAGTGGTGCTGTAGCTCAAGCAGTAGAGCACTCGCCTTGACCTGAAGAGCTCCAGAGTTTAAGCCCCTGGACCCACCAAACAAACAAACAAATGTGATCCTCAGCTCTCAGCATCCTAAGTAGCTAGGATTATAGTCATGAGCCACCGCTGCCTGGCTCCAGATAATGTTTTTTTTTCTAGTCATTCTTTTTATGTTAGTGTTGGTTTTTGGTGATACTAGGATTTGAACTCTGCTTTACACTTGGTAGGCAGGGACTCTAAGGCATAGCTCCATCTTGTTTTGCAATGCTTTTTTTTTGGGGGGGGGGTCCGGTCGTTGGGTCTGAACTCTGGGCCTGGGTGCTGTCCCTCAGCTCTTCAGTTCAAGGCTAGCGCTCTTCCACTTGAGCCACAGCGTCACTTTCAGCTTTTTTTCCTTTTTGCTTATGTGGTGCTGAGGAATCAAACCCAGGGCCTCAGGCATGCAAGGCAAGCGCTCTACCACTGAGCCACCTTCCCAGCCCCTTGTTTTGCAATGCTTTGAGTGTGTGTGGGTATGTGTGAATTCATTTTCTATTACTGGGACTTGAACTCAAGACCTTGTGCTCTCACTTGACTTTTTTTTCAGTTCACTTCTTGAGCAATACCTTCACTTGTAGCATTTTGCTGATTAATGTGTTCAGAATTTGTTTGCTCAGGCTGGCTTTAAACTTCAATTTTCAGATCTCAGCCTTCTGGATAGCTAGGATTATACGTATGAGCCACTGCCTGGGATGCTTATTTTTGAAATAGGGTCTCACTTTTTTTGCCTTTGTGAGTACCTAGACTTCGATCTACCTGTTTTGATAGGCACGCGTACCATACCCAAGTATGGATTGAGAAAGGGATCTTGCAAACTTTTCTGCCTATCCCACCTTGAACTATTTATTATCTTTCCATTCTTAGCTTCCCAAGTAGCTAGAGATTACAAGTGTGAGCCAGTGGTGCCCAGTTCTGGTCATTGTATTCTTGACTTGAAAGGTTTTCTGTAGTTGAAATACTCTACCTAATCATTCATTTGTCTAATTCAAGAATAGGCAAAGGTTGCTGCTAAGGTAATCACTAAGGGCCTCCCTTCTCTTTTCTCAACTCTGTCCACATGAAAGTCAGGTTTAGGGGCTGGGAATTTGGCTTAGTGGTAGAGTGCTTGCATGAAGCCCTGGGTTCAATTCCACATAAACAAAAAAGGCTGGAAGTGGTGCTGTGGCTCTAGTGGTAGAGTGCTAGCCTCGAGCAAAAGAAGCACAGGGATAGAGACCCATTCCTGAGTTCAACCCCCAGGGCTGGCAAAAAAAAAAAAAAGTCAGGTTTATTCAGCAGGCTCAGGAGAGATCTGGTTTGCCAGTGGAGTTAGGTGATAAGGAGAAACTACTCCAAACACCTACTGCTAACAAGGTGGAACTTTTGGGAATTAAAAGCAGTTGTTTCAAGACCTCTAGATTGCCTCACTTGGTACTTTATTTTTGGTCGTGGGGCTTGAACTCTGGACCTTGGTGCTGTCCCTCAGCTCTTCAGCTCAAGGCTAGTGCTCTTATCACTTGAGCCACAGTGCCACTTCTTGTTTTCTGGTGGTTTATTGAAAATAAGAGTTTCACGGACTTTCCTGCCTTGGCTGGCTTTGAACCACGATCCTTAGATCTCAGCCTCCTGAGTAGCTAGGATTATAGGCGTGAGCCACCGGGCGCCCCGCTTCACTTGGTACTTTTAGAACACAGGTTTGTATAGTGGCTATGGATTCATTTGCATACTCTTAAGACTGGCTGGCTTGACCATAGAGATGCTTTCTTTCCTTTTTTCTTTTTGCAATGCTGGAGATTGAACCTAGTACTTTCTGTCTACAAGGCAAGTGTTCTACCACTGAGCTACATATGTGCCAGCACCTGCAGGGTTAAAAGATACTATTCTTTCTTCAAGATTATCCTAGAATAGGAGGAATTTGGGTCATTCCCATTTATTCCAATTCCTTTATAGAGTTCCTGAGGTTTCTTTGTATAGAGTTAGCCATTTCTAGACACCTTGATCCTAAGAAGTGCTTGACTTTTCTGGACTTGGCAGGCCCTCTAGTTCTCAGAGATAAAAGAACACGGGGCTGTGTACTGGTGGCACATGCCTGAAATCCTAGCTACTCAGGAGGCTGAGCTCTGAGGATCACGGTTCAAAGCCAGCCAAGCTGTGAAACTCTTATCTCCAATAAACCACTAGAAAACCAGAAGTTGCGCTGTGGCTCAAGTGGTAGAGCGCTTGCCTTGAGCTGAAGAGCACAGGGACAGCACCCAAGTCCAGAGTTTAAGCCCCATGACAAACAACAACAAAAAAGAACCCTGGTGTTTTTCAAATCTATTTTTTTTTAGCCGGGCACTGGTGGCTCACACCTGTAATCCTAGCTACTCAGGAGGCTCAGATCTGAGGATCGAGGTTCAAAGCCAGCCCTGGCAGGAGAGACCGTGAGACTCCTATCTCCAATAAACCACCAGAAAACCGGAAGTGGCGCTGTAGCTCAAGTGGTAGAGTGCTCACCTTGAGCTGAAGAACTGAGGGACAGTGCCCAGGCCCAGAGTTCAAGCCCCACGACCGACAAAAAAAAAAAAAAAAAAATCTTTTTTTTTTTTGGTTTTTGGAGGGGGGCGGGGTCAGTGGTGGGGCTTGAACTCTGGGCCTGTATGCTGTCCCTGAGCTCTTTAGTTCAAGTCAAACAAACACTCTGCCACTTGAGCCACAGCGCCACTTCTGGTTTGCTGGTGGTTCATTGGAGGTAAGAGCCTCCAAGACTTTCCTGCCTGGGCTGGCTTTGAACTGTGATTCTCAGATCTCAGCCTCCTGAGTAGCTAGGATTACAGGTGTGAGCTACCAGTGCCCGTCCCCTCAAATCTTATGTGTGCTCTATCAGGTAGGATTGCCTTAGGAAGTAGAGCCTGATGT